CAGAAAAGCACTTCATTCAAGAATATTTATTCATGAAAAGAGAGTGAGTTAAAAATAGGTTGTTGCACTTCATATTTAATCGATACAATGCAGTGACGTGTGGATTTTGTCAAGCCTTTTGCTTTCAGTAAATTTCCATATTTTTTTTTTTTGTTCATTGTTCTAAATCGAGCCGTAAGAAACCTAGTGCTCGTTTATAGGCTGCGGTTTACTACTTGTTTGGTAATCAAAATTGGATGAAGAAAAATGAACGGTTGCAAATGGGAAAGCCAATAGAATCAAACGTAGTAGTTATTCATTTGATGCGCTTGTGAACAAGTTTCTGCTGATCATTGTAGTTTTATCTTCTTCTTTTTTTTTCATTCTCTGTTTATAGAGCGAAAGCAAAAGCAGACAGTAAACAGTCAGATGTGCACGTGCAGTATTTTTTTTTATGCGAACAATTACTTCGAAGAAACACACGGTTGCACTCAGACGCGTGCGTGAGTGTGTGTGGCGACACAAATGTACAGAGCAATATTTTTTTCGCTGTAAATGTTTGATTAAAACCTTAGAGAATCAAATGTGCGACACATGATTTTTCATGACGTACTAGTGACACCTTTTTTACAGCCCCATATTTGCAATTGCGCGTTTAGACCGCTTTTGTTAATATCGCAAAACAAATGTCATTTATGACGCCACTCAGCGCTGTTTGCAGGTGGTTTTCAGTTTTTGATACCTAGCAACTGTTCACCGAAATGATGTCTTATTCTACAGCCAAATCGATAACAACAGAACGCTCGACATCATTTTCAATGAACATTTTTCATGTTTTGTAAATTCCATGGATTCATCCAAAGATGACCCAGAATAAAACATTCATTCGCTCGGTTTCAATTTATTTTTGAAAGTATTATCGAGAAATTCAATTTATTGTTGTATTTGTTGCGCATTTAATAAGTAGGGGAGCAGAAAAAAACGTCTACAGGATTATGTTGGAAAATTCCGAAGGTTCATCATCACCGACGCTGTATTTTGCAATCTCTTATTTGTTACGTGCATATTATTTCCATTTCACTCCAAAAGATGAAACTTCATATTCAAGTGTGGGAAAACACCGTTGTGAAAATGAACATTGGCTCTCTCTCTTGCTCTTTCTCTATTCGCGTTGCGATTCGAAACGGAAATAATTGCAAGAGATCGATTTATCGGTGTGTAGGAAAATATTGATTTTACGTAATCGGTACACATTGCTTCGAAATACAGAACGTGACGTAACTTCGGCAACCTACGTCTTCTTCGAAAAAACAAATGTGGAAAAAACAAACTGAGGCGCTTCACGTACAGAAGGCTGACAAATGTTCAGTGATATTATTATTCTGATGATACGATATTAGTTAGCAAGTATAAGGCAATAAAGGCGCAAAATAATTCCCATAAGTTCAAATTACGACGGCAGGGGGATCGTCCGTTACCGAAAACATTTGCGCTGGAAAATTTATGTAATGATTTGCCATGAATTGCGATGTTTTTTCAAACTCGATTATTTTTCATGCATTTTTCACATGCTGAATTCAAGTCATGTCATATCTAACCGTACTATCTAAAAGCATACAGTACAAATTGTCGAGCATAATGAAGTACGAAAGCAACGAGACACACATACACACGTCGCTGCTCAGCAAGAGGCTGAAAAATTGTATGCTGCAGCACAACGACTGCTGAATTTGGACTAGGTGAAGATCGACGCGACGTCCACGAAGAAGAAAAGAAAACGAACAAGTAAAAAGAGGGAACACACAGTAAAGGTCATTAACACGACTCTCAATTCGCACTTCGTTTCGTGTCTACTCTTCTCTTCGCCACAATTTCTTGTTTGTGCGTTTTTTTCCGTACTTCTCTTCGACGAGCGAGCGCGCGCGCATTCATCATCGACGACGACGTTTAATTTTATTCGTCTGTTATTGCTTAAACGCTCACACAAATCGGCATCCCAAATTGGTGCTTGATTCAATGCACGATTCTTACTCTGGTATATCCGTTGTCTTTCTTTTTTGGTGTTTTTTTTTTGGTTCGTGAAGAACCGAACCGAACATTTACTTTGTGACATTGAATATTTTATGCGAAAAAGGTACTTTTTTTGTTCTTTGTTCGCAAAATTTGATGTACTATGAATGGGTATAAAATTATAGGGTATAAATGCATGACTGCAAGTACGCAATTTAAGCAAACTGAAGACGACGAGAAAGATGATGAAGAAGAAGAAGAAGAGATGTACGCATTTATTTACATCATATTTCGACCACACCCCGTTGTGCTCGAAAATATATACATATTTTTATATTTCGTAACGTGCTTTCCTCATATTCATACACAAGACCAACGGCAGAAACGTGTGCATCTCTCTATCTATCTCCGAATGATAAGTACTGCACTCCAATTTGATTCACATTGAATTCAGCATGTGATTGTCGTGTGGAATGAAAACGATGCCATTCGAGAAAGAGAGAGAGAGAGAGATACGCGCGATGTGCACATCGCAAGTTGAAAGGTGCTCCAAAAGGGAAATTGTGCCCAATGTATTCTAAATGAAAAAAAAACCGTTTTAGACTGTCAAAATGATCAGCTGCGATAGCATTTTCACGAGACCGAATTTGTTTTCATTTTTGTTGTTGTTGTTGTTGTTGTTGGAATGAACAATCAGAGCAACGCTCAAACCAAGTATGACAGAGGGAGTGTGTGTGTGTGTGCGAGACAGAATCATCACGTTGATAATAATAATAATAACAAAACAATAATTTCTGACTTGACCTTGAACCAAAATAGGAAGAAAGCAATCATGCAATCATATCATACAAATTTATTTCAATTGTGCGGCGCACATTTTCGTTTCGTCACGGTGTTAATACGACGCTGATAGAGTTCTATGTTTGTTACACATTATATATGTGTATGTGTATTTGTGTAAACGTTTTAGTGGTTTGTTTGTTTTTCGTTCGTTTCTGTCTTAGTTACCGCTATGCTTATGCAGCAGCAGCAATAGCAGTAGCAGTAGCCGCAGAGAAAAAAAACCGATTGCATTTGCTCTCTGTTGGCCGTCGTCATTTACTAGAGCTAATCGATATCAATGCCATTTGTGTCGTGTGCAATGTATGCAAATTGAACGGAATACACAACAAAATATCTGAATCAAGCACATTTTGTTTACCGTAATCATAATTGCTATTTGTTTCTTGCGCGCCCGCGCTACAGATCGGAACGAAAAAAAAGTGTCGCCTGAAAATTATTTCGTTATTAAAAAGAACACACGATGTGTATTGGGAGAACAAATTATATCTCGTAATACATGCGCAGATTCGAGGCGAATCAAATGAAATTACAAAATACCAATGGCACAATGTATACAAATAATGCTGTATCGCACACGGTAGGCACGGCAACCGAAATTCACTTAATGAACAAATAAATAAACAAATGCGCGAAAAAAATATTATTTCAACTGCGATATTATTGTAGTTAAAAAATGTTTTGGTCTTGATTTTCATTATCTCTGCATACAAAGTTTCGCGGTTTATTTCATTGAGTCTGGCGTTTATTTTTCTTGTTTCGTTGTTTTGCGAAAATTTTGAGCGGTTTGCAATTATTGCATAAGATAGAAACACGAATCGATCAACCTTGCTTGTTTCGTTGATGGGAAATGAAATTGACATGCGGTGATGTACATCGATAGTTGCATGCGTTGTCTATTTGTGTGTGTATTCCTTTTTGATTTATGAGCCATTTCTACGTTGTCGTTAATTAGGTTGCAATAAAGTATAACACACAACTTTGCAGTTATACCGTTTTCTTTCGATCCAATTCAGAACTCAGTTCGATCGATTCGAAACATACATTTTCCCTTTCTGCCTGTCACTCCGACATATGATAAATAAATGTTTATTTAACTGGACTGGGATTAGAAGCAGAACTTAAGTTATTAATCATATTTAATATAATGAAATGAAATCCATTTGCTTATTGTTGTGTCTATTTAAAGCGATTCATATAAATGTGCAACAATTGTCGTCGTTTATCGCTCGACTGGGCGAGAAAGAGGCAACCAAGCAACAACAAAAACAACCAGTAACTCATGCTCATGCATACGGAATCGAGACAAAAGATAGATATTTGATATGTCTTGGTCGCGTTATATTTATATTGTTTAGACTATTTTTATCTGCGCGCACCTAATGAAATTGTTCGGTTTGTCAAGCGTAAACGCAATCGTACTGAAATCTCAATATTTATAAATACAATAATTCTCTCTCTCTCTCTCTCTCTCTCTTCGTCGCTCTGTCTATCCTTCTTTCTATCTCTCACTCTTTGTTTGTGTTTATGTTTTATTGCAATACACTGCCATTCGCTGTAGCATACGAATCGATTGACCAAGTAGATCTCTGTGTGTTAGACACGCTTGACAACCGCACAGAACACTGGTTTTGAGTATGCGAAGGCTAGATTTTTGAATTCTTCTTAGTCATTAGTTTTTATCACTCTCGAGACAATTGGAAAGGAAGTGGTGGTATTTGGTTTCCTTTTGAGTATGAAATCAAGAATAAAAATCTTTATGCAGAAGGCACACAATGTCACTTTGTACAGAAAGGAAAAAAAAGATTTTAAAGAGAGAAAAAAAAGCGATGGAAAATTTAATACGAAGTAATAATAATCGTTTGGATCGGCGCGACTTTCAAGTGGTGTTCAACAAAGCGTTGTCATTACTTTCGAATGGTGTGATTGCCACTGTCCAATGGATGTAACATTGAATTTAGCCATGTACTACTCTGTTCATAATTGTAAAACAATTTGCAAAGAGTCTTGCCAAAGTGAATCATATCGCTGACGGTTGATTTCTCGATTCGAAATCAACCCATGTTTTTTTTCTGTCTTTTTTCCACTTATCTTACATATAAACGGTTTAGAAAGTGTGCTTAAGAGGAGAAAAAGAAGCAAACAAGACGAAAAATAAAAAGAAGTCTCACCTTTCACTCTCGTCGACCGATTGCCCGTCATCGGTGGCAGTTGCGTTGACTACTGGCATTTTTGTTGGTCCATCAACAGAAACCGTGTCTGGGTCATTGATCGTGTTGTTCACATTAGCATTTGTTACACTCGCATTCACGTTGTTCGTGTTGCCTACGTTTGGCGCAATATTCGAAGAAGACGATGTAATCACGTTACTTATATTTTGTGCAGCGTTTCCTAGTAACAACAACAAAATGCACACATAAATTTAGCATTTAATTGCATTAGATATTTAATTTGATTAGACTGAATTGAACAGAGATTTAATTTTTTTTTATTAATCTCAATTTCTGGCCACCGTTAAGTGGAAATAGAAAAGGTCAAAGTGTCAAATCACGGTATAACTCACCTGTTTCACTGCTTATCACATTATTTCGGTTCGGATTAGTCACAACAGTTTGCTGAGCTGTTGCTTGAATTGGATGCACTAGAACGGGTTGCGTTTGCTGAATCATTGCCGAGGACTGTGTCGGTTGTGTTGGTATCGCTGAGTTCACATAATTCGGCTGAAGATTCACATTCGATTGATTCACATTGTTCATTTGACTGGTCGCCTGTTGCATGACATTCGCATCATGTGTTGCTTGAATTCCTATCGAATATGGCACGGCAGCAACATTACTGGCTATCGTTTGATTTTGGTTTGCATAATTTTGATTTTGTGGCTGAATATGCATTGAGCTGCTCACGACTGATGTCGGTTGTGAATGCATTTGGGCTTGTTGTGAATGTGGAACTTGCTGCATTTGCGTGTGGAGAGAGAAAAAGGCACAAGAAAACAAAGAAATGGTTCAAAATCTCATTGAGTCCAATTCAGGCGATTTTTTCCAATTGGAAAACTCAGATTTGGCAATAAGAAGTGCGCAATAAATGTGAAAATGAGACGCAAATCGGAAATTACCTGCTGCGGAATATATCCTGAATGATTGACAGCCATTGGATTCATTCCCGACGGCATGTTCATGTTCAGTTCGATATTGTTTGGTAAATGTCCCATGCTCATGGCTTGTTGGTGCGACACATTCACCATTGTCGGGGGTATTTGTGATGCTATGGGAAGACCAGCCATATGAGTTCCAGTCGTCACAATGCCCTGCAATGCATTTGCTGGCAACGTTTGACCGTGTGGATAGCTCACTTGTGGCTGTTGCTGCGATTGCATTTGCATTTGTTGTTGCGTTGGCATGGCCGTTTGCGCTTGAAATTGCTGCTGATTGGTTGGCATTTGCTATTTTGTGTTGCGGGGAAAAATGGAAAGAAAAATCATATTCAGACCATGAAATCTACCAATTTACACACTGATGTGTTTAGCTCTGTATTATATTTCGATATTGGATCATTCAATGACACATAAAAAATTCACTAATCTCGAGAAAGAATATTGAATTGTCATGATTCGCAACATTTCCCATACTGAATGATTTAGGTGATAAGGAAAAGTTCCAAGAAAAGAAAGAAATTATTGAAATGTTCAGTTACCTGTTGGTATTGACCAGAGAATTGCTGCATTTGCGCCTGATATTGTGGTTGCTGTTGTTGTTGCTGCATTTGTGGCTTTTGGTACACATTGTTTGAGTTATCTGTGGCGATTTGGTTGTAGTATTGCTGGGCAGCTTGTTGATTTTGGAGATTGTTCTGGTATTGTTGTTGGTATTGATGAATTTCGTGGATTTGTTGCATTGGAATTGTTTGTGTGTTGTGTGCACTTTGACTGCCGCCCATTGACGTATTCGAATATTGTTGCGGTTGTTGTTGCGGTTGTTGTTGTTGTTGTTGGGGCTGGAAGTTTGGTAATTGTCCATGCGAAACGGCCATTTGATGTTGTTGGACCGCGTTCGGTGTGGCTTGAATTTGATGATTCTGTTGCATTTGAGGTATAACATGTGACATAATTTGGGGCGGTAGGCTTTGGCCTTGTTGCACATTATGTGTTCCGACTGGATGATGAAACGCGGCCACGGGTTGTGTTTGATGTTGCTGTGGCTGTTGCTGCTGTTGTTGTTGTTGTGGCTGTTGTTGTTGCTGCTGCTGCAATTGCTGTTGTTGCTGTTGCTGCTGGTGAACCTCTTGAACAGTGTTCGACTGTAACACAGCCGCCGACTGCATATTCTGATTGTTCACCACATTCGCGAAACTATTTTGCAACGGTTGTTGCAACGTCTGGCCCGGCGATGTGTTTTCATTGGCCATGGCCGGTGCACTTTGACCAGAAATCAAATGAGCCGCTTGTACGGCCGCATTTTGGTTTTGATTCGGCAACATTTCCGTTTGAACCGTTTTGGCCTGTTTCTTTTGTTTCGTCGTCATCGTTGTATCGTTAAAATTCTCTGTCAACACAACACCGCTATCGTTTGTTGCAACCGTTTTACCATTACCGCCGAAATTCATTTGCACTTGCTTCGCCGATTGATCCAAATAGTCCATGCACGTCCACCGTCCACGTTTGAACGGTTCAATACTTTCGATTTTGACCACCTTAAATCGTTCACTGCCTTTAATTTCGACACCTTTGTTTTTATCAACCGCTGTCGTAACACAATTAACACGAACGTCCGGCAATTTCTTGCCAACTTGATTGCTATTCACACAATTCGTTAGATCAGCTGACATATTGTTCTGCATAATGGGTATACCGTGCGCATATGCCGTCGCAAATACGTCGTCCTTCGAATACATGTTCGAGTCTTCGGAATAGCTAGGCGTTTCGTTTTCCATGTCGGTGACACGGCTATTTTCGTCTGTGGTATGAGATTCGTCTAAATCGTCCGCTGAATCTTCATCAGCACTGGTTCTGGTGCCCACGGTAATCGATGTGATTTGATAGGATGATGTTTTCGGTTTCATATCCATATTGATGTCGGGCAAAGTTACGAAGGCCGAAGTTGTGGTGGAATTTGTTTGAAACTTTCCATTATTTGTCATCAGCAGGGTTGCCGTAGGTGGCACAAATGTTTGCTGTGTATTATTTTGTAAATTATTCGAAATAGTTGTTGATCCGACACTGTTTGCAGTCAATCCACTACTGAAATTTGTGTTTCCATTTGCCAGCACATTACCATCAATACAATTGCTATTCATTGATAACCGGAGACTTTCGCTAGTCGTTCTCTGTACGACTTTTGCATTGGCTTTGTTATTTCGATGATGATGATTTACTGCTGTTGCTGCTGTTGTTGCATTGGTTTGCGAAGAAGACATAGTTGGCTTCAACGCTTTTAGTTTTTGTTGCCTTTTTTTCTTTCGCTTCTGTCTTTTTTTTTTATGTCAGCTGAAATATGCTTGTCTACAAATGACGAACCGTATTGCGCTTCAAACACACACACACACACACTCACGACAAACAGAAAGAAAAAATAACGAAATAAAACTGTAGCAAATCGAATAATACATGCACGCACACACACTCAATATCGCCTGTGAGTGAACTGCTGTTGCTGTGTGTGGATGACGAGATGACGTTTTTCGCTGTTTCTCACTCGTTACTATGTTCGATTCGAAATACTTTTCGCTATACACACCGACACAATTGCTAATCAAATACACTGGGCACACTGAACTGAACCGTTGTCTTCGTCGTCGTCGTCGTCGTTTCTGTTGTGTATGTACTTGTACGTCAATGTATTTGCATTTGTATTTTGTGGACGTAATTCGTTATCTGTATGTGTTTTATGATTTTTGTGCAATGTTTTTCGTATTCGATTTTCTTTTTTTTTCTCTTTATCGAATTCTGTTTTTCTCTCACTCACTTTTCGCGATTCACCCTTTTTTTTGTTTTTTCTTTCTCTTCAAATGTACCGTTTTAAGTTTTGGTCTGTTTTTTGGTGTGTTCGTGATTTAGTGTCACTCTGCTGCTAGGGGCACAAATTGCACAACTTCAGTTTTATTATTGTATATAATTTTTTTTTCTCCTTTTTGTTTTGCAATTCGCTTTGGCAAAAACCAAAACGCGAAAAATATATAACGAAGCAAACAAATTTGTGCACTCACTCACACACAAACACACTCATACACGAGGCACAGGGTAGTGAATCAACGATCTCGGAGTTGAACAATCGAATGATTCGAAACCAAAAACTAATTTAAAACGATTGGCCTTATTGTTATTATATACTATATCGTCGTGTATTGTATTTGTTATTGTTGTTTTTTTATATTTTCCGACAAAAAAAAAACGAAATGCAAAATCTGCTGATAAGTTGTTCCGTCTTTATTACGCTTTTGGGTTGGCTTATGGTTGCTTGCAATTGACAAAAATAAAATTGAGTAATTTTATTCATACACACACTATGCACAATGAATTGAATCGAAGAGAAAAATAAAATCTATATATTTCAGCCTTAAAAACACAGAGAGAGTGAGCGAGAGAGAGCACACGGAGTTTTATCAAAATCGTTATAATGCACTTCTTTTGCACACTCTTTTCATTTTATTGCAGCAAAATACTCTTCTCTTTTTTTTCTTGGTCTGATGAACCTTCTTCGTTTCTTTTCTTCCTTCGTTACTGTATTTGTTGTTGTTGTTGCACGTATTGGATTAACTGGTGTTGTGTATGGTTTTTTGCATTCAGGTTTTTTCTGTATGACAATTTACCACAATCATATTCCAAATATATATTTTTTTTCTGCTTTCTGTAATTTGTTCTGTGTTAATTTGACTGTATATAGAACGATGCGCACATTTGGGACCATCAAAATCAAGTATTAAAACTTAAAACAATACGATTTCTTTTTGTTGTTGCTTATTTTGTTAGGGGCACTTCATATTTTTATACGATTCAGCACAATTTGAATTGTCAATTCAGATGTTGCAGAAGCACGAAAAAAAATAATCAAATAAAAACACACACTTAATCACTTCGGATGAAATTGATTTCGAAGAGAGAAAATATCCACAAAAAGAAAGGAAAAATTCTTGGTGAGGTTTGCAAATCGAATTTCGAACACGGCAGAAAAAACTCAATAAATAGCCCAGAAAACACTGTTTAATTTCGGTTTTTCGCGTTTCAATCGACTACGTTTACGTTTTTATGGCGATTAATCTAAATGAACCACCTATAAATTGAACAATACTGTGATCGAAACAAGACAATTCTCAACAAAAAAAATTTCTCTGCAGCTTTTCGGCCATTTTCTGTGCACTGTGAAGTGAGCGCTGAATCAACAACAATCATATATAGTAACATACATAGAGAAATTTCATTGGGCTGTCTGTCACAAATCGTGACTACAGATGTCAGAACTCACGCTCGCTTGACCGTGACTCATATTTTTTAGGCCAACCGTATTTCTTTGTCTCTCGTACAGTCGTCACAAAACGTTTATCCCAAAAATTGAGTGCGAGCGAAAAAAAAACAACATAACAAAATGCGTTTCAATTTAATTCGTTGTTGACAGGCGACAGATGTTTATTTGGTCCATATGGGAGATCAACAATGCTGTTCAACATGTTCAAAAGGAATTTTTTTTAATTTTCTAGAAAGAAATTTCGTTTAATCAATATGAATGAGCAAACTTAAAGCTTCTTTTTCTTGAATATTCCATGCATTTAGAGCGCCATCTAGCGAAAGAGCGTGTGACATCGAAGCAAGTCGAACTTTTTGCTTCATTGGAAAGGATAACTTATTTCGATCTGAAACAGTGGAACTTTCTCGTCTTTGAATTGATAACGGTGACTAGAACGAATCCGATTCGAATGAATTTACATTTTTCTTATGGGATCGAGGGATGGATGACGATGACTTTTTACCAAATCATAATTCTTCAAAACAAACGATGGAAATTTAATCCATTGCTGTGTGCAGAGGGTGTAACCTATTTAATTTAAATCTGCCCTACGGGCTTTAACCTAGTTAAAGAAATTGTGAGCAAAACCGTTCTAGGAAATTCTTTTTTTTTATTTTGGCGAGATTTTCATAATACGAAAAAAAAAACGCTGATTCATTTTATGACATATGGGCAATGTCCTAAAAATTCATGTGGTTTCCCAATGATTTACTGCGATAAGCACACAGACTGGAATAAAGTCAAGTATTTACAAAGGGAAAAATATCAAAATCGATTTCAAAACAAGTTTCCTCGTCAAAACACATTTGAAGTGGCCAAAACATATGAATCACAGGCACGTTTCAAACCTTTTATTGTCCTTTGCCCTTGAGAACTTTGGGTATTTTATTGTGTTTTCATATCAACCGAAATGATAATCATGCGAGTCAAGGCATTTAATCGAACACCCTGTGCGCTATCTTCAGATTAATCTGCTGGTCTTTTAGTTGTCGCACCGAGCGCTTACCACAGAGAACGAAGTTATCAATATCACACCGAAGAGATAAACGCGCATAGTGTGTACAGACACAACGAACTAAATCGGTTGCGTCAAATGAAGACCAAGACATTCAGCGCGCTTGAAGATTCACTAATTCAATTTTTATTGCTTGTCAAACAGTCGTGGGCTGTTTGATTGACGCGGTAGCTTCTAGTTGAGCAAGAAAGAGTCCGATTTGCATACACCGTATGCGTAGTTTGTGCATGTGTTTTTTGCAATACAACACTGCAGACAGAAATGTCTTTGGCATCGTCCGAATCAAGACCGATACAAAGTGTGTGATACACAGTTTGTTATCTCATATATCATTTGGTTATCACGGATTGCTTGCGAGAACGTCTAGATAATGTGCGCTCCGTCGATGTGATACAGAATTTGCAATCATTTCGTCGCATTTGATTCGAGCAAATGGTTGTGACATACGCGGAACGAATAGGCCGGGAGACAATTTTTACAAATCCACTTGCAACGATCACGATCAGTATTTTGTGAGACACCATCAGCACAAGATCTAATACACATCTTCTTTTGCTCTCACCAACATTCGGGAATTTTTTCTATCATTCTATTGCGGAAATTACAAGACACCCGACATTCAAATTAAATCATCAGTTGGAAAGAAATTGAACACTCGCGATTGTGAATTTTGAAGGGAAATAAAGCTGCTTTTAATTGAATTTCTTCGAATCAAAATATCCGTCCAGTTACTTAAACTCATCAACTCGCTTAGAATCAAAACTAAATATCCAGTTGACTTCCAAATTAAAGCAGAAAAAATTAAAGAAAAAAACTCTTTGGACAAAAACAAACAAAACAAACCGTGATCCGATTTGCAGAAGCAAAGTGAGCAAAAGCCAAGCGTATTAAATAAAAGCGTTGAAACAAATTGAAATTTTACGACGTCATTGCATTAAAAAGCACTTTGTTCAGTTTAGTCTCTTTTTATTTGAAAATTTTTATATATTCACTCCTTTGCTCATGCTATTTTAAATGTTTAATGGAATTTTATTGATAAATTGCTTTAATAATAGTTGAATGAAAAAAGACGGTGTACAAACTGGAAACAGGCATTACCATCGCATTATCAAAATCAGCGAGCGTTGATTTTGTTTTTTTCTGTTTTGTTGAGCCTTTTTCTCTCTCTGACGGTTAAAAACACTAGAAAATAAAAAAAAAAACGCCAGAAGAAAAGGCGGTCAAAATAAAAACTGAACATAAAGACCAAGTGAAAAGTGCTACCGCGATTGTGCTCGGTGGAAAAAAGTAAAGTTTGTAAAAGAAACTAGTGATCGTGTATTGAGGAGAGAAAATAAGAGTAGAATCGAATCAAAATGGGGGAGGAAAAGGTGGAAGAAACAACCAAACTTAAGGAAAAGGAAATTTCCACGGAAGATGACGAAATCGAAAAACCTGAACTCACAAAATTTGGTGAATTTTGTCAGCGACATGGCATCAATGCCAACTTGATTATGCTGAAAATTACATTATTTGTTATGTATGGAGGTAACGCATTCAACATCAACCACAAACAAAAATAATTTTAATATTCTTAAAACAATGTTTTCATGTGATAATGTTTGGACTAAACAGTTTTTTCCAGGGCTTTTTCTATCGAACGTTCGATTTTGCATACAAAATGATCGACTTTTCAAACACTTGGTGGGAAATGGGTTAAATCAAGTCAAAATATCGTCGTATTTTTCAAGGTGGAAAATTGAAATCGTGGGCTCATTGGAAAAAATTTATTTTTCTGGTCAAAAATCGGAATTAATTCAATTTTCCATCAGAAATAATTTACCCGACGAGAAATTTGCGGAATATCGCATTGCGACTATTCTACGTATAGTCGCAATACGAAAAAGTCCGTCGAACGCAGCCAACTTCACGTTGGTTGTACGAAGTTTCAAGTCGAAATATCACACTCGATTCAGTTACAACTTCACATTTATCGCAGCGCGAATAGTCGCAGGGTATTCAGCGATAACATTTTGCGGCAACTTTTATTGTGGATACCTATTCGCATTGCGAGTATCCGCACTCAAAAACGGATATGCGACGGATAGTCGACGTACACCTATTTCACCGCAAATTTCTCGTCGGGTTATGGCCATACCGCATTCGTGGTATTTTAGTGAAAAATATACTAATTTTTCGAAAAATTTATTTAAAACAAAAAATGTAAAATTCCTGACGATAAACCAATATCCAATTTCGCTGAGAGTTTTGAGGGAAGAGAGCTTTGATAGGAGTAGCCAAAATAAACAAACATTTGATTGAATAAATGGTTTTGCTATGGTGTGTGTCCAGTTGTTAAATGTCATTTTGGATTATGATCGACATCGAAGCAAACTCGGTTAAGCATTTGATTTGGGAAATTTTTCGAATTGACAGTTGGGCAAGTGTATCACATGATAAATATATGCAATATGGTCAAAAATAAAACAATAATTTGGTCGATGTTCTTCCGAAATTATGATAATTTGTTGGCTTTTATATAAAATTGGATGTTATTATATCCAGTGCGGTATTTTGTACATGATCCTATCGCATGAATTCACGTCACTTTTTTTTTCTTCGTCGTCGTTGATTGACTTGTGTGCGATGGGATGTTGTTATTATGCTTGTGCGGTGACATAATTTATTGCTTTTTAATTCCGTTTATTGGCCATTTGGTTGAAAATAGTCTCTGTCAGTTCTTTTGTCATCCATTAAACATGTCGACATCTTTGTCGGTTTTATGTTAGGACACTGTGTCTGAAATGTGTCGTTTTATTTGTCGTTGTGTCTTTTATTTTTTGCATTCTCGTTTCATTGAAACGATCAACAATTTCTTCGAATTCAACCAATTTGTTTTGTAAATAGTGGACACGACCAGCAACTCAATTGTGTGTATGTTGCCATTGAAACAACCGTTATTTCATTACGTGCGCCCAGGGATACATTTAACTCATGTGGATTGAGTGCAAATAAATGTCAGACATTACATATTCAACTTGATGACACTATTTTGCACCTGATTCGATCAAAATGGCGAATTGCATTGAAAGAATCGATTTCTGTTCTTCTTCTACTACTACATTTTCCATTGCGAAAAAGAAACGTTCAAATAATCTGACTTCCATTTTGACGAACTTGTACTTGACTTTACATCGTGATCACTTAGTTGGATTTTAAAATGAACGAAAAAAAGCAAGAAATGTAAAAAAAACGGTTTATTTTAAGCGAATGCAATAAATTTTAGTTGCTTATCAATAGGGTATCAATTCAGTTTTTATTGTAATAATTATTTACACTTGGCTTTCTTCACTTGCTGCACCGATTTTATTCGGTTTCCAGCCTACTTTTATTCCCGTTCACCATGGATTGCTCCAGAGAATAAAAATGATTGCAAGATAGAAGCAGATAGTTGTATGAAGAATTTTATTTACGAAAACGCAAACTCTCGATTGCGATACGAACAAAAATGAGGTGGCCGAAGCGTGTAAACAGTGGATTTTTCCAGTGGCAGTTCACACAGATGTGAATGCCATCATACTAATCGCACATGTCTCGTCTTTCAAACGAAATTGGGTGCTTTATCGTACGTGATTGCCGTTCGCGTTTCTATTTGTTTGGTGAAGATTAGGCTAAAAGTTCCGAAACCGATTGGTTGCCATGCATTTTGTATGTATTATTTTGGAGGAATTGATTGAATGGGTTCAACTGATGATTTCATTTCGCTTTATCGTATTTATTTTTTTCCGTTCATTATCATTAGTATTTATGGTCATACTCAAGTGTGGCCCTCTTATGGAGAGAGAGAGTGAGACAGAGAGAGTGAGAGAGGGAGAGAGAGAGAGAAGTAAGAGAGCTGTTATCATTGCAGTTCAGGTAGACACACACGCACATCAATCGCACATCAATCGCACATTATTTTATGGTGACTCTTTCACTACCCGCCGTCGAAGTGGAATAATTTCTCCGATTTCGTCAAAGATTAGATTAGCGTCGAATGTTGAAAGTGCATCGAAAATGAAACAATGGCTTTCGAAAAAAAAATCAACAAAAAAAAGAAGAGTTTAATGAAAATTGTACGAGCTCTCTCATACAATATCATGTCAAAATCGGTTCGGCTCCCAACGAACTATGTAAAAGAAGATGAAAAACACATCAAACGATGTTCCAATTTCATAATATGCACAAGAGATAATGCCCCGAGTCTTCGTCTAACTAGACAAGATAAAAATTGAATAATGACAACAAGCGAAGCGATCGAGAGAAGAAAGAGGCCCCCCTCTTCGTCCGATGAAGAACTCTACCCTGAAACTGATCCATTCGAATGCACTAAAACGTGAATAGTTGAAGATTAATTTGCGTTTGCTCGATTCAACGAAACAAAGTGATGGGATGTATGAAATTGAGACCACGATTAGATTTTATTGCTGATGATTTGTACTTGCACTTGCGCACACTTTTACGGTTTCGATTTACAAAATCACACCGTGCATACATGAACGCAACCATCGAACGCAAACATCGAAGTAATTGTGATTGTATGTACGGCATAAGAGCATGCAACACAAAGTGCAGTCAAAGTGCGAAGTGTGAAGAACAAGTGGCAGACGCTTGATACAGTCAATTTCAGCTTGGGGCATTCCACACTTAATGCATACTTGTGTGCTGTTCTTAAATCAGCCGAAAATGCTTTGCACTTACACACATGCACCGAGCGAGAGAGTATGTGTTACAACGCTTTTGACAGAAGCTGATGATTGAGGAAACTGAATTATAGTTTAGCTTTGTTTTTTAGGTCGATGTCAAAGTGATTATGTTCAGTGATTTCCACGAACAACGCACTTCATGATCCAATCAGTACAAATCAGTATGCTGGATAAGCTCATTCGGTTACTTTTATTTGAAAACGGTCAACGTGTTCTAAAAATAGACCCTCCTTCTAAACCAAAATTCTATTGTATGATGCGCGCTGCAAGACCACGTGTTTCGTTCAATTTTATTAGTGATTATTTTCGATCGGGACAGTGCTTGGCACTTTCAGCGCATGCAATGCATACACCACAACAACAAAACATAGGCGATTTCCAAAAGGATGTAGATACACAGTAACCAACAAGAGAATGTCGTTTAATTTCCAAGCAAATAATGTTTTATGTGTGTGTGTGTTTTTTTTTCGTCGATTTAACCTTGTGTACCGAGAGAGTAGATGATTGTGAGTTAGCAGTAGGCAAGAGAAACAGAAAAGAAAAAAAAATAGTTCAGATACAGTAGATAAGTAGCAGCACAACAAATCTTAGACTCACTTAATCAAGTGTGTAGATTTGAATGAATTTACGCTAATTTCAGAGTTAGAGAGATACGATATGATACACACACGTATGTATACGACGACCATGTCATATTATTGTCAACGCAAAGCGGTTTATGCCATACGTATATAGCTTAACCGACAACAAGTGACCAACATTCATTACATTGACCATTTGAATATACGCACTAGTGCCCCGCAAAACGAATCGGCTCCATGTCATGTACTTGGTAATGAATATGTGCGCACCACACGAATACAACCAGTGTACAATTCGAAATTGAGATTTTTTCGATGTCAATCACAACTGGAATTTTTCTTTTTTGCGTACAAAATGATATTAAACCAACTTTTTCCCTAGGCTAGACCGCACAAAAAAACATGGATATCGGTGACGCAGTAAAGTGATTGTCATTATCATAAATAAAACATGGGATAGATAAATGTAAATACCGCTGGAGTCATGCGACATAGAAAATAGAAAATAATAAGTTTATGATGAGATTCACGAGATCAAAACGTGTTTGTCATTCGTGATAAACCCCATGACAAAGATGAGATTCGAAATTCCATGAAACGCAAATTCCAAAATTTATAGATGTTTATTATTCGCTTAAGACGATATTTATATTTGCGATATGGTCTCTGCGCTGAAATGTACGACGATAAGATTTGTAACCATTTTTCCGTGTGCTTTAACTATTTTATAAATTCAGCGGAGCAAAAACTCGACGTGCGAAACTTTTCTTCTTCCTCGACACAATCCTTTTTTTGTTATCACAGCTCCTCAATCACACCATATCTGACGCCAACAAAGTGTCAAACCTGCTTGAACTTTTTTTTTAGAAATACATTTTGTTTTTGTCGTTTCTTTTTCATTCACAATTTCTTGTTTCTCTTTTCCCTTTATCATCATATTTCAGCCACATCATCGCTACTACCCTATCTGACAATTCATATGCAAAGTATAGGTTTAACCATTGAAGAAATCGCCATAATTTATTTAGCATTGCCGTTTACGACATTTTTAAGCCCTCCACTAACAGGTAAGGCTTTTGACATGACTCATTTCTTTTGTTTCTTTTTTCCCCGCTCGTTTCTATTCTATGGTCGTGTTTGATACCATGAATATGCATAAAAAGCGTATTCAAAGTGAAAAATAATGGGTAAACAGTGAGATACCGTGATAAAACCAGGATTCGTTGGGGGAAAAATTTCGATTCCCAACCGCTCGTGTTTTTGTCAGAATTGATTGCGGTAAAATCGTGTTTAAAGTCAGTGTGTCACGCGACATAAAAGTCACATGTGATCTGAGGTTCAGATTCTGAACCATTAAACCCGTATCAAATGTACATGATGTGATTTTTTTGATCAAACATTCGTTTATTCAGTTATGTCATCTAATCAGATTATCTTAATTAAAATCAAATGATCTTATTGCGCACGGACTAGATAAATCTAATGGGTCATAAACTTGGCATTCCACACCAAAAGATGCCTTGGCAAACAATTAAATACGCAAAACACATAATCCACATTGTCATATCACAAAAAATCACACAATCTACTCAGCAAATACAAGTGATTTGCAAATAAAACAAAAGATGCAAAATATGTACATAAATTCATTATTCTTTTCGAAAAATTGTTGCAAAACAACAAAAAACCCAACAAGATAAATAAACTCCCACGGAAATTCCTCCATTTTAAATGGTTCTACATTATGTTGTCGCTTTGCGCTCATTATTAATTACAGTAAATAAAATGACGCTAACAACGAATGCAAGTTTACTTTCCACAGAGCAAGAAAGAAAAACAGCAATCTAATGAATGTCAACGACATTCCGGCTATGTGTAGATTGTTTACGGTCTATATAATTAATTACAGCGAAGCTTATTAAAAAAACCAACAGCAGTGACAACAGAAAAGAATTATACCTACTGTTCGAAATGAAGATTGGCATTGTTTTCTTGCCATTTTTATTTGCCACACTTTGAGGCATTATATGAAGCTGATAAGTTCAAAATGGTTATTTCAAGTTCATTCCGCTTTGTCGCAGTTGAACAACACAGCCACTTTACTTGAATTTGCTCACTGAGCGCGTAATACGTGCCGCATATCTTGCGATGATTATATCGATATGGGAAATTACGACAAAAAAATGCTTCACTTTATCGAATTCAGGACACGAATTTGCGCATCATTTTGTTGTGTCCACTTCATTGTATCTGATCACATTTGTCTCGTTTAATTTGTCATTTAAATTAATTCCGTTTCATTTCCTCACCTTTTAATCGAGAATTATGTTCTAATTTTCTTTTTAATCTCATTTTTTCATCAAATCGATGACTTGAACAATATAATTTGGCAGGTTTTTTGGTCGATAAATTTGGCAAATACAAACCTGTAGTTATTATGAGCTTATTACTGAATGCAGTTTTTCATCATTCGTTGATGATGATTCCACAGCAAGAAATACCGGGAGTTATACCAAAGGCCTATGTTATGAAACATCCAAACACTGGCAGCGTTGAGGTACCACCTGAATAATTTGATCCGTTTTCCTCTTTAAGCAATCACTAAAAGTGTTTATTTGTAGGTTTGGTGGTCACCGTGTCCAAGTAGAGAATGTCCAGACAATGAAGAACTTGACATTGTGGTTGATCAATGCTTAGATCATTGCTTGTTGCTCGAACAAAATCCAAAAATTGAAATTATCGCCCCACCGACAAAAGCTCCAATGCGACCACCCGTTACCGAAGATAATGGCGATATTGACGATCTTAACTTCCATTTGAGCAAAAGAAAACCCAAAGATGCAAAGCATCACTCCAGTACGCCACTTACAACATCGCCGACGACAGAATTGCCCAGTGAGTAGCTTAAGACGATTCAACTAACGTCATCTTATGATCATAAATTGTGACGTTTTAAATGTCTATAATTATAATTGCGTTTGAAAACCAAATAGATGCATCTGGCAGCGATTCGCAAATTGCCAATAAAATTCCTTTAAAATTTGACATTTAATTTTTATCATTTTAGCAACGACGAAGAAAACAACCGAAGCGACAATGAGTCAAAATGAGACAAGTGAAGAAGAAGGTGGTTGGGTGTTAGCCGATGCTGATGATGCTGCGCATTTCCTACTTGATATGCATCCTTATCTCGGCGACCCAATCGAACAGCTGGGCATGGAAATTGAACAAGATGACAATGATACGGTCACTGACTTCAAGCAAAGATTTGGTGAAAAACTGCTGTGGGACTCAGGCGTGAATGTGACTGAACTCGAAGATGTTGATTTGCGATGTGGTGGTTTGGTGCTATTAACAAACATGTCTGGACAAAGTAATTTCCGATTGAACGAATTGGCCGCAGATTGTATGGTACAAGAGTGTGAAGTAAGCAGATCAGAACATTGATAACAGACAACAGCAGAGGTAATAATAAATGCTGTTTAATTTTATAGTTTCGACACGGAGGTCCAGAAATCTGTCCGCCCGATTACATTGAAAGTGACGACAGTGTGTTTTGGATTTACTTCTTTTTGCGATTCTTGGCCACGACTATGTTATCAGCCGGTAAGAGTATTCATTGAATTGAAATGGAGGAACATTTTCTGAACATTTTTTTTTAAATTTCTACCAATTTCGTTGCGTTAAAATATCCAACTGAATCCGCAGGTGTGACCATTATGGATCCAATTGCACTGACAATGATTGAAAAGTATGGTGGTGATTTTGGTCGCGAGCGTTTATTCTCAAGCTTCGGAATGGCAATATTTTCACCGATCACCGGATTGCTTATCGATCAGACATCACGCGGTTTAGGGTATACCGATTACTCGGCAGCATTCTACACTTATGATATTCTATTGATAATTTCCACAATTACCGTCACTCTTATGCCAATCGGTGATAAATTGCCCGCTGACAACGTGTTCCGAGACTTGTTTAACTTGTTGAAATTGCCCCACATCATGGCTTTCATTTGCTTTTTATTCTTCCTCGGAAACTTCTGGGGCTTTATCGAAAGCTTTTTATTCTTATATCTCAAAGAATTGGGAGCACCAAATTATTTACTTGGAATTACCATTACGGTTGGAACCGTTAGCAGTATTCCATTTTTGTACAGTGCCGAAAAAATTACGCGCGTTTTCGGTCATGTTAATTTAATCATTATCGCATTCTTTTCACACGCTGTTCGTCTTGTCGGCTATTCGTTCATCGAGTGAGTATGATTCATTTTACAATGTTGAGTTATTCATTCCTTTGTTTTGAGGAATCTTTTCAAACGATTATAAAATTGTTACTCACAGAGATGCTTGGTGGTGTTTCCCATTCGAAGCGATGGAATCGCTTTCTTGTCACTTGATGTGGGTTGCAGCAGCTACTTATTGTGCAGTTCTAGCGCCGAAAGGTCTTTTGGCCACATTGATTGGCGTATTGGGAATGGCGCATTTCAGTTTGGGTCGTGGCAGTGGATCATTCTTCGGCGGTTTTCTCATTGGAAACGTTGGCACACGTGAGGCCTTCCGATACATGGGCCTTATGGCGGTATTCGGTGGTTTTCTATACTACGGATTACATTTGGTCTACTTGAAACGATTCGATTCGATTGACGATAAAGAAGATCAAGAGACGAATGAAAATGGCGAAGTAGACAAGTTAACGGAACCAAAAACACGCGACCAAGGAACTTCAATGTCACAAGAGAGACTCAGTTTATGGGTGAAATACAATCAAATTGGAAGCTTGGCATCGTTGCCGCGAGGATCAAAGGTAAGTTTTGATTTAAAAAAAAAGAAAGAAATGGAGAAAATAGTTTAATCTTCTGAGAACTGATAACATTGTACTGGTTGAATGCGCAAAAACTACAGTGTACTTGGATTCAAAAGGAAAAACTTCACGAAACTATTTCACTTCCATTCATTAGCTTGCATTTTTTTTGAAATGGTAGCACTTGAGACGTTTTTTTTTCCGTCATTAAGTACAAATCTCATCTATTCAAACGGTAAATTTATTGACGCCAACTGAATGGCACTAAATCCGTTAGTACATCTTTTTTTTCGCTTGCGATAAAAGACACAACAATAAAATCAAATCACGAGGCTGGTCGGTACACGGAAAATCAAATTAAATTCTCCCTTTGACGCCGATTATCACTTGAAAAACAAAGCAAATACACAAAAATAGAATCGAGACTTGATAATCGGGCCGACACTTATCGCGCAATTGCCTAGTAAACAATGTGTAGTACAGTTCGAACACGTCAACGAGTTTGTCGCAAAATAATGTCATCCGAATGCCATATATCTGGGGTTTGTATTTTTATATACAGCGAAATTCCAGTACAAATAGTAATCGTGATTTTTATCATGAATGACTACAAAAATTGATGTAGATGCTTATTTTTGTTTGCACAGCCATATACCGTTTAAGTAAGTTCTTGAAGCAATTAACATCCAAGTGGCTTATACCGAATTGGATAATGACGAAATTGAATTCTGAACGAGAGCACGTGGGGCCTGTCTTATTTAATTTTCTATTTGGAGAAGACTTTTCTCAGAAGAGAATCAGATTTCATGGCAACTATTCATTGAAATAGCACATACAGGAAATAATGGTTGAGATTTTTGGTACCATTGATTTTTTTTTCGTGCAAATAATCCAAAATCTAAGACAAAATTGATTTTTCTAAAGAAAATTTGTATGGAGGAAAATAATTTTGGTTTTAGGTATTTTAATTTTGGATTATTTTCACCAAAAAAAACAATTATACCAAAAATCTCAACCATTTTGCCCTGTGTGCACTCAATTTTGGCGATTACAATCTTGTCCTCATTCTATTTTTGGCAATCCGTTATATTTACGTCGTTTCTTACGAACCATGTTGTTGACACTCGCTTGAATTACTCTGTAGTACCCTTCGACAAATAATATGACTACCTTAAAACGTAACAATTAAACTCATTGACTATTCCGTAGGCGGATATTCATGAGCATTTGGCACAACGCAGAAGCAGCTATAACATTGAATACGGTCGCAATCGAACGGGTGGCAGTGCATCAAAGGTGGATTTATTAAAATCCGCGTTGGAAATCAACCACAAAACGTCACACACATCCGTATCCAGTCGAACGGATCGAACATCAAATCAATCTCTGAACCGTTACCGTGCTGACAGTGCTCCAAAGTTGAATCTCAGCAGTCCGAAGTCGTTATTAATCCCAACTGATCCCGTCTTAGAGGTAATAAACGTTGATGATACAAAGCAAAACAAAACGCAAAATATCCGCTAGTTCAAAATTCTCAATGTCATTTGATTGTGGGTCTTATCAGTTTAGGTACGTTTAGAGTAATATTTTTCATCGGAACGTGTTGTGCTTAATAAATTTACAGCCATCTTAGATATAGTCAGATTATCATCAGATGACATATCTAAAGTGGGTGTTTGTTCCGTGAAAAATATTGCCAGTGTCTAAAAATAATTTCTCTTCTTTTTTGGCGTATTTTTGTAAGAATAGCAATTAGTTGTCGTTTGTGTCTATCTATTTTGTTTTGTTCGCTAAAACATTAATTTTTGTGTGTGTTTTTCTCGAATAACGTGTAACTAACAATGAAACAGGGTGTTGAATCGAATTTCGTGCGATACGATCGTTTCAAGTACCGTAGCCGAGCTCAGCTGCAGATGATTCCAGCGGACGAACCGATTACAACAACAATGAGTTTTGATGCGGTAACTAACACTATACGGAAATAAGAAAAACCGTATTACTAATAACATTCATATTCATTCATTTTCACACAAGTATCAAATCATACCTCTTCGCATGAACCCGTTCAATGGTTATGCATTATACTTTTTCTCCTTTCCCATTTCTTCTTTCTCCTTTCCTATTGATTTCAAATTTGGTGCGAACGAATATTTTCGATTCGTTCATTCGTTCGTTCGTTCGTTCGTTCGTTAGATTGACACTCGCAGTGAGTGAAACAAGGCGCTGCTCACAGACTTCAACTGAGCCAATGTATGTAATACCAAAATGAATTAAAAACTAACTTTTTTTTTAGCTAATACACCGAGCTAGCACTCAGCTCTTATGGGCTATTTTTAAGTTAGCAGTGCTAACTAAGCACTTAGTTTTTACACCGGGAATACGTTCCCATCGAATAAAACTAATAATACTTACTTCATTGTGTGCATTACATCTTTTATGTTCATCTCATCTAATACAAAAACTCAAACCATCGTTGTGAAGTTGATGTTTTTTTTTTCGCCCCGACAAAATTGATAGTGTTCATTGAGGCAAAATCTCATCACTAAAATTACATGCATATCAATATTATAGCAAGATGCACAAATGTGAATTGGATCGAAATTGATGTGCACGCTGCTCTATGTTAATCGTTTCAATGGGAAATGCCGAGCAGTTCTGTGTGGATGCAAAAGTACATTGCAAACGATGCATACATTTGAGTCGGTTTTAGGTCGTCACCACTTCGATTCACATGTTTGTATTACGAACATACACAAACACACACATTCCCAGTTGGTTCGAATGCAAGGCACACCAGTGTGCCTCACAATCTCAGAGGATGCAAAATGTGAGAATAATAATCCGAATCATGAAAGTCTATTGGCTTTTATACGGGAATCATGAATCGTTTGGCTTAATCTGTTAATAATGTTGCTCCTCGTCCCGGGAGCGAGGAAAAATCAATAAAAACTTCACAAGAATGCTATTTTCAAACAGCGTCTCAACTACTTTTTCCCATGCTACAACAATTTTAATCAAAACAACTTTTTTCCTTACGCCAACAGGATGACGAGCGACGCGATTCAATACCCGAAGAGCCAGAGAATAACCAACAAACAAATCACATAAACAAAGCGAAACCAGTGCCAAATGAAAATCGCAGAAATATCACGTACGAGCGAAGTCACTCATTAGTTGAACCGCAAACAAATCACTTTAGCGAAAACACCTGAACCGAAAACATGCAACGCCGAAACAAAAAAACATTCAATTTGCTTTTTGCATATGTACTATGTTTTCTATCGTTCAAATTTAAAAAAAAATAATGTTATTTTTAATTCGTAAGTCTATGTAATGCTTTTTTTCCTTTTGACAAATTGTTCCTTTGGGTGGTTTTACGACTAAATGATTCAAAAATCGTTTTTTTTTCCTTTTATAAGTCCAGATATTTACTATTCGCTTGGAGTATTTAAGTGAATTTCACAAAAGTATTGAAGTCAAGTAATTATTAAATAATTTGCTTTATTTTCTATAAACTTACTTTAGAAACAAGGGTAACAAAAATAAGCATCAGCGGCAACAACAAGTATTGATTTATTTTTAGCGGAGAAAAGAGAGCGAGAAAAGTTTTAAGTTGTATGTAAGCTGGTTATAATAAGTTGTTGAATAAAAGAAAAACAAACTCTAGCGATCGGAATGGAAATTGGTTTCAATATATATCCCTTGTGCTGAAACATAGACGTCACAGCCAAGAATTTTTGCTAGAACACCATTCGATGCATCAACACTGGATATTCGATGCATCGATACTGAATACTCAACAGTATTCGATAAGTATTACCCTATTCGCTTTATGTTTTTTACAACGCTGGTCCGATTTTGAATTTTCACACTGTTGCATTGGTCCATACTCCTGCTCCTAGTTCCATTTTTGCTATATAAGGAAGATTTTTCTTCCCTGAAAGAAGGTGTTTTCAAAAAAAAGGTAAAAAAAATTGTAGAAATAAAACTCCATGAAATGTTAAATGTTCATCTTTTTATTCAATAAGATAAATTTGTATCGATTTATTCAAAATTATCTTTGCACCTTGTCTTTTTCATTATTATTTCATTCATGTCTAGTGATTAAATTATTATTATTTTTCTTGTTATCCATTTATGTCATGTGGGTTTTCCAATGTTTTTGACTTACGTAATATTATTTCCATTGTTTTGTTTTCTATTTCATCCACAACGAAATTAAAACAAAACACACAACCCATTGTGTGTGTGCGTTACTGCACCACTGCTAATGGATTCTGTCGTTGAACTTGGGATCCAAATCATTTTCAAAGTTAGAAACAGAAACACAAATTAATGCATCTAGATTCAACGAGAAATTGGCCTGCATGTATGTTCAGTACACCGAAAAGGCCAGTTTATTACAAATTCCATTCTGTGTGTGTAGACTGTAGACTCACATGTCTAAAATCCTAACAATAATTTTAAGCACAAAATACGTTTTCGAATGAATGAATGTTAGTTTTTTTTTCTTTCTCTATCGTTTTTCTTTTTTTTTTTCCTCCTCAAATAGAATAACATTGCACAAAAGAGACAACATGTGTTTGCACAATTTTATTCAAACAAAAAATTACGTGTATCCCATTTAGAAAGAGTGGCGGAGCTTGTTTGATAAGAGCGAGCAGCTGTGCACATCGACTGCTTGAAAATTTTATTCTGCCTTATTTTTGTTGGTTAGCGCGCGCATTTGTGTGTTGCTTTGTTGCCCATTTTCAAGCATCGGTGTGCATTAATTTGCATTGATATTTTATATTTTTTTTTGCATTTAAATTACAATTAGACTACGTTTGTTTTTAGTGTGTATTGACTTACAACAACAATAACAATAAACAGAACTATAATCACAAAAATAATTGTGGGAAAACTGTTGATGTGTACTGGGTTGGCTGGCGGGTATTTAAACTGGTTAAAATTTAGCCGTGCGCGTACATGTTCATATCGTTTTACCATTGCCAGTCGGAAAATTCAGGGCAATTGCATTTAAATTATGATTCGTCGGTATGCTCGAGTAAAATCACATCGTGTGCAAATGAGAAATCGACAGAGAGCTTTTTCGGTGTTACCGTTCGAAACTAAACGTTTTGGAATACAACAAAATTGATGTCGATATTAACATTCAAATCCATTCGTTTTGCTGCTGCCGTTGCATCGGTTTTGTTCATTCATAACACAAACCGCAATCCAACTTGTCATTCTCGACTGGCCGAACAAAAAGCTACACACTCAAAGTTATTACATTTGTAATTGGTGCAACCAGTTTTAGCGCCAGACAGAGAAAGAGAGAGAGAATGAGATAGACAGACACTGAACTGAACAGCTGCATTTCGTAACGTGAAAAGTCACAATATAACCAACAATGTGCATTAAATCAAATGTCTAATTGCATAATAATGTTCGTACAATGTAAATTGATGAATGTTTTGCATAACAACTTACACACACGGCACATCGGTTATTATCATCATACCAAGCGATTTTCTACGAAAATTTCTACCATAGATGTCAGCAGATATTATCTGCCATTGATGCTCTCAGTTTCGGTTACAAATGAAATGGTATTCTGTGTTTTTGTGTTTGTGTCTATACTCGAATAGTTTGACTGAACAGTGAACACACCGTTCTAATTATACTTCTACGTCATTTAAATTGACGTGTATGTGCCCATTGTCTGTGTATATGTGGATGAAATACCTGTGAATAGGTCAATTTTCAAATAATTCTAGTCTTTCAATTCGGTTGAATACAACATACAACAATTTGATAAAATGCCGAGAGGGCAAAAGATGAAAATAACCAAAGCCGGTATTTACCATTGTAATCAAGTCATCAAGAGCTTCAATTTAAGGGTAAAACATTTGAGAATCTTTAATTTTGAAATACAGATCTGTACTTTCCAAAAACAGAAACCTGCTCTCTAATTGGTAAGGTGATGAGTATTTTGGCCGTTGGCAAAATTGCTCCCGGGCTGAAGAAATGGTGAGATTGACACCAAAAAAAACTTTATCAAAAGCTTGCCGAGCATCTCTGACGCAATGTAAGCATCTCTCACGTAACGATTGCAAGAAAAAAGAGGAAATATCCCATGCGAATTGATCTCACATGCGCGCAATGTTGCCGTTTGATTTCAAGACTATACTCTTTTTCAACAAATATGTTGAAGCACCCCCGAAAAAAGAAAACACAAAACAAGGAATCCGATTTCTATGAGCTATAAACATGAAAACGTTGATGGTGATTAGCTTTCCTAATATGAAAATTATTTTTTTTCGATAAATTAGGTTGTTTGGTTTTTTGATTGAATTACACTAACATTTTGTCTGTCTGTCTGTCTGTCTGTCTGTCTGTGTGTGTGTGTTTTCTGTTGCACATCTTAAGACTATGCTCTTACGCTACTATTTGAACAGATGGAATTAAATCACAAAAAGCAAATACTCTTTATTCCACTTATTTGTTTCAATTTTTTTTTCATGCTGGAAATTTGACTTCGCATCTATTACACTCTCATATCATATTATTTTGCTGTTTATTTATTTCATTGTTTGACTTACTCGAATTGTATGTTTTTTTTCGTAAATAAATATTAAATTACATATTCTTAAATCCATTCAATTCTCATATAAAATACTTTTTTTTAATAAAAACTGTGTTCTTTTTTTCCTCATTTAGACTACATTTATCCGAATTGAACAGAAGCGGAAAACAACGAAAGGGATTTCTATTCATTTTTATGTTTAGTTTAGTATAGGCGGTGATTATTCACACAAAAATTGGCGAGAATTTCATTTCAATATTTTTGAATGCGGTCGAAAAATCAAAACTATTGACCGGAAGTTCCGGTCCAATTCCGATATATTGGAATAAAAAGCTCAGGCCATTTTTATGTGATTGGATTCAGAACTGTATAGAGAAAAACCGAATTTGGCGTTCATTTTTTTTATCTATATCCTCATAATAATAATGAATAAATTCATGTAAATTCGAATAGATTTCACGAATATTAAACATGTAATGTGTGTAATGTTATTTGGTGTGTGTATGGGTGTGTTGTTGTGTGAGTGAAAAAAAGAACCATTTTTAGGTTAATTAGTATTACCTAAATTAATTAGTTCTTAATGTGGTTTGTGATTTATAGAAATGTTTGTATGTATATTATGTTTTGTGATTGTATTTTTGGCTTTTGTTTCATTTTTTTTCACGTCCGGGTCAGGGTTCATCGAGAGTGAATTAAAAAATAATTTTATTTTGCAAATGAGAAGGGAGAGAGAGAGAGCATTAAATATTTCATATTTAAACCACTAAATAAACGATCATTTTTGTGTAAATATAATCAAAATATTTTAATTTGCGGTCGCGCATTCGGTTGTTTCCTGCATTTAAAATGAACAACAACAAAAAACTAAATAAATTTACCGCGTGGTTTGGTTTTTCTAGTGAATTAGCGGCGAATGCTGTGAATCACTGAAGTCAACTGTGTAATACATGTCATTTTCGAGGTTCATGGCTAAATGTCGCTGAAAACGCGGTACTTGCTGACTCAATGGTGGCGGATGATAATTGAGCGCACTATTTGTACCACCACCAGCGTTGTTGCCATTCGAACCATTTGGTTGGTTTAAAGCTGTTGTGCTGGCTATTTTATTCGATGATGATAAATGCCCCTTTCCACTGAGCCAATGACGTGGATTATTCAGCTGCTGCTTTGCCCGACGACCAAATCCGAAAATCGGAATCAATTGATGCTGTCGCGTTGTGAATCGTCGGTACGATTTGTGGAATTTGCAATGGCACACGATTACCTATGACGCCGAAAAAAAGCAAATAAGTGCGCAAAAAAGAAAGAAGAAGAAGAAGAATAAAAAAGAGAATAAAAACGAAAATTATAAGACCATAAAGGAAATGATTATTTTATTTTCTTTGATTGCAATATTTCACTTTCTCGATTGGGCAGCGGAAAATCACTCTACTCATAAAAATTCTTCATTAATATTATTTGCTAACGTAATAGTCTTTTTATTTGGTCATTTTTTCCTCCTTCTTCCTGAAAGTGTTCCTCCCTCCGCTCTGTCTGTGTTTTCCTCTTGTTTGGATTACCGTCATTTCCGCTCCAAATTGAAGCGATCAGCAAAACCAACATAATCCACTCAATTTATTTGGATTTGAGTTTAAGACAAAGAGAGTGAGCGATTTTTATCCCGAAACGTTGAGACGCATGATATTGCACGAATTCGGAAAATGGTGATTAATTACTATGTGTCAAATTAAACAGAGGAGACCACCATCACCGACAAAAACGATGTGAACACCAGTAGAATGCAACGAAAACAAATGGCACACAATTGAAGCCCATTTAACCGACGATGAGAGAATTATTGAAAATGAATCAGCTTATCGGGCTTAGTTCAATTGATTTTGAATTTGCGTCTCACTCTCGAATCCAATCCAATTCAATCCATCGTTGCCGTCATTAATTTGAATTAAAACAAATGCGCACTTTACCCATTCAATGGATTCACAATACACACAGAGAATGAGAGAGAGAGAGAGAGAGAGAGAGAGAGAGAGAGAGAGAGAGAGAGATCGATAAAGCTGCATTGCCGAAGCCGTTGTAGCTCTATAGCTATATAGATGTTCGAGATAATCGGAGCGATAACAGCAAACCGCCTGATTGAATTTATTAAGTTTGAAATTGTCGCAATATTTTCTCTAGACGACAGAAATATGGTTGCATTTCGGAGCCATCGATTACGGCTATGAATCATGGTGAATAAATTGCATTTTGCAAAGTGTGAGCGGAGAGTGAGTACACTCGATCTGGGTGTTTTTTTTTTTAGTTGAGCTGGACTAGGTTGAATGAAATGATTCATGCCACATTTGTCGATTCATATCTCTCTCTGTCGCTTATCGGTGGTCGAACGGCATTCAGTCGAACGGAAGACAACTGGGCATAAATAAAATGAACAAATGGAATGCACGCGTGTTCGGCTCGAATCATGCCAATATAGGAAAATCTTTCGAAATACATACATTTATATAATGTATTTATATTGCAAAGTCTTGGCTCAATTGTTGATCTTCGTCTTTTACTTTTTCGTTCGTCCATCCGGTGGCTCGTGAGTTTCATTGTTCCTCTGGCCATTGCCAATGCATTCATTTCACTCACGTTCGTTTCATACACTTCAAACCACATCTGAATCCCCAATTCACTTAAGTAAATAAAAATATAACGCTGGGATTCGCAAATATTTCAACTATTTCGAGTGTGCAAGTGTATGTGTGTTGCGAGTCAGCGAGCGAGCGAGCAAGCATGACTGAGCTGAAAACCATATAGTTGAAAAGAACTACAAACATTTTCATTTCTCTGAGCATTTTCATTCGGATTATTGCGTTTCTATTTCAGTTTATCCGCCTCGAACTGCTTTATCTGGGATCATTCTCCTCGACAGAATCGCAAAATGCATTAAAACGCAGCACAAGTGACGTGATATAATCCACTTAATACGAAGAGTTATAAGCGCTTTATTTATAAATATATGTATATACCATGTAGGCCATGGCAGTTGTTTACGTGTACCAAATGCATTCTGCTTTTATGTACCAAAGAGATAAGAAAGTTTTTTGTGCCATACTTTTGAACACAATGTGTCGTACCACCAGCACCAGCACCAGATGGAACGTGGTTATGTGGATGTTTAATGTGTGATGATGTTTATCATTGTGAATGTGCGACTTTTCAATGAACACCATCGAATTTGTTAATTGACATGTTGGCATTGGCCAAGAGTAAAAACTTATTGCCATCGAATAAAAGATGAAAAAGGAAAAACTAAACCCAAAACCAAAGACCTGTCACATCAAAACTGATTCAAATGCGAACCTGATGATAGAAACTGAATCATACTCACCACGATGGCAACAATGAAAATGGCTGTAGCAAAAGTTCCAACTGCAATGTATGCATTGTGCAATCCAACCGTGTTTCCCTTCGAGATAACTGCACTGAAGCTTGAGTCGGCAAAAGGTCGTGCGTGGGTCGTTGCTGAATCCGCATCAGATAGTACATCGTTGGTATTCACCACACCATCTAGAATAAATTCATCTGAAACGGAGACACACACATGCACAATGTGAATTTCACATATACACCGAGACACACAGAAACACAAAAGAATTCGTTTGCTTTAATTTTTTTCCGTCTATTTTCACGATAACTCAAAGAGGAAACTCTAGAAAATTATATTTGATTTCACATCATATTACAAGAAAAAGAAGAAGTAAACTACAATAAAATGGCAAAGAAAGTTCCAGTTCGTTTCCAAACGTATTCACGTTCTGATGAACAAATTCAATTCCAAATTTAGTTGGAGCAAAAGTGAAAAATAAACGGAATGAGAGAGAGAGAATTTTTCTTACCTTCGCACATTTTTCCCGTGAAACCTAAAAGAAATGATGAAAGAAAAAAAGACGATGACATGAAAATGTTGAAGATAATTGATAAAAATGTTTTGAGTCGTTGTTGTAATAGAGTGCAACAGCGTAAAAATGTGAACATACCTGCACGACATGCACAATAGAATGATTCTTCGCTGGTCCAGCAGCTGCCACCGTTAGCACAAGGGTTGATGTTGCATTTCTGTAAGCAAATATTAACAGATATACAAAATGTGTAGAACAAATGCCATGAAAATTAATAAACTGTCAATTAAATGGTAAAACGAATGCAAGTTGAGAGCATTATCCACCCACATACATAGCAATGAATGTGTACAGAGCATATAATCTTCTCTACCCCAACGGTAGGGAGGCAAAGTTTTTCCACACCACTCAACGTATAATAATAACACCAAAGCGCTGCTTAACACTTTAGTTCACGGATGAATGGGAATGAAATGGCACAACATCGCATTGGGATTTGAATGTGTTTATTTAGACGCGATATTATCGTAATTTCAAACAAGAATAACTCTGAAATTCGCTTTTATTTCTTCATTTTGAATGGAGTGAATCGTCGTTACAATCAATTAGCCGGATTTCCACCATCACCATCGCCCTCCATTAACTTGAGAGCATACGAATGAATTTGACGAGACATGGAATAAAATTTTACCTTCGCTTCAGTGAGAACTTCACTTTTCACTTCAGCATTTTCGTGAGAAATATTTATTTTTGTGTGCGCACTGCGCACTGTGTTTTTATGATGCCGTCAAACTTTTTGAGACGTTGTTATGTGTCTGCTGTGTTTGTGGGAAAAAGCGAAATGATAACTTCGGTTTGAACTTGACAAACGAACATTGTGATGAGTTCGAATTAAAATTGTTTGCTCAACATTAAAGTACCATTAAATCATGGAGTCATCGGCGAACGAAGGAAAAAAAAGGTCACCCGAAAGCATCGCGCTTTAATAACTCATTCAATGAAAATTATGGTAATCACAGTCGGAAATAAATTACCGTAATCTAACGGACCAAATGTCATCTGCTATGGTAGTTTTTCGAAATGTATATGCCGTATTTTTTTTCCCGTGGAGACAAATAGATAACGCTGTTACACGATTTCATTGTCGGCATAAATGGTAAAAGCGTGTTTGTGAGTGTATAAATGCGGGCATTTCATCACCAAAGTGTCATGGTTTGACATTTCAAATGTACGCATTTGAAAACTCTTTGCCCATTTTACGGAAAATCTTGCTCATCCGGTTGATGGCAGCGGACAAAATATGCACCCGTTCACGTTCTTTGTCGTTGTCGTCAGTACTCGTCATTGCTTACAGTACCTAAGTTTATAAGTTTATAATGTTATTTCTGTAGCTCTCGCTTTGAACGTATAATGCAATAAAAACGCAATATGCGCTCAGTTCAGTGGGTAGCACGGTACATGGCCGGAAAAAAGTGCTAGCGAACCATTACCATAACCAGGCAATAATATTTTGCGTATGAATGGAGCGAGACTCGCTGTGAGTAAACAGGATAAAGAGAGAGAGAGAGAGAGAGAGAGAGAGAGAGAGAGAGAGAGTGTGTGTGTGCGCACGAAAGTGGAGCACACATTCAACAAAACCAATTTTATGTCCGCAGACAGAAATCCATTAAGTTTGAAATTATGAATGCATGCTTCAATTTATTGCTTCGATGGGATCATAGCCGTCGCATATAGCCCAGATACTAATAGTATCATACTACTCTTTCGCATTTGTGTTCCGCTCGAGCAAGCTGAAACACAGAGAGCGAGAGTGAGAAAGAGAGCCGAACGCAATAAGATCGACGCATACATAAACTATCAACAGTATGTGAGCGTAGAATGGGTGCTAACTGGTTATTCTTTTCGACACGTCGACCGAAACAATTGCGAATGTATAAGGCGAATGTGGGACGATCAACATGGAACGCAGTAGAAAAGTCGTCGTAAACGACAGACGCACATCGCTTATATCGAAACCATATGAAAATGTGCTTTTCACACCCGCTGTCTCTTTCACACTCTTTTCCTTCCACTCTTACGCAAACGATGCAATATATATCGGAAGGTGACCGATGTGAGCACATAAAAAAGTGAAAGAGCGAGAAAGAGTTAGGAAAAAAATGGAAATAATAAATTATTCAAAATAATAATTTTCTTTTGACCCGTTTCATCGTTGTTACGATGCGATGTATATATCAAGTGTAGCACAGCACAGCACATGAGATACACGGATTAAAGTATTACTCTTTTTTTCTATGAGCGCGTGCACTAACGTGGAACCCATCTAACGATATATATTGAATCGGTAGTGTCTACTATTAATCATAAACATACACATTTCTATCCCATTTTCCGCACATTTCATTTTAGGTTCAATTTCAATTTACATTAAGCAGGATATATATGAAGCACACAAACACACAAGCCGAAGAATATCGGAGGAAAAAATACACACCCACAGAGTGAGATAGAGACAGAGAAGCATATTCTTTTTTTAAAACTATCAACGAAACGATGTTTCGTTCTGGGCGAATAAATAGCATCACTTTACATTTCCATATTTTCATATATAAATTTTTTGTTCTCTGTTTGGGCGATCAAAATCAGAATAAAAAAGGATTCTCTCTCGTATGTGTGTGTGTGTGCGAGAACAAAGTGAAAACACAATTTGGCTTATAAGCATATTAGGAAAAAAACGGAAAGAGAGGAGCAAAAGCTATGTCTTTTCTGACAAATGCTGGCAAACTTTGGGATTTTTTTTGTTGTTGTTGTTGGTTTCCGTCTGTTAGTTTCGGTTCGACCAATGTTCGAAAGTTGTGACGTTTGATGGGGTGGTACTCTCTGTTGTAGCAACAAATGTTCGGTGTGTTGTAGCGAATTCCATAATTGCATGTTTCAGACTGGGACCAGTGAACAAAAGTTTTGAATAGGAAACCTTTATATAAATAGATTTTGACACCACTTGCCCAGGCCGGTTCATCTTCATAGTAATTACTGGCTTCATTTATAACTCGACCACTCACAAAGTTTTCTATTGCGCACATACTTTTTTTTATTTTCTTTATATCCATATCTAACATCTATGTTCCGGTCATATTTTGCAGCAAAAACTTGATTTTTTTTGAAGAGAGATTTTTTTTATTTCGAAACGCCGTCCTCGTTGTACATTTGTTAAAGAGTACGCTTTTTCTCTGTAGCAGCATTAACGAAATTGATGAAGGATAAACAAAGTGTGTTGAAGAGAGAGCATCGAAAATTAGCCAGCTAATTAATAAAATGGATTTAGAACAAAATAAATGACATATAAAAACAATGAGGTCCGCTCTTTATTCATTATCTTGCTATCCAGAGAGACACACACACAGAGAGAGAGAGAGACAGAAAGACTATTCGCTTAAGCTCATGCTCCTTGATACTTGTTAAACTTTCTCATTCGATTGCCATTCATAAAAGGTTTTATCTTTCCAGAAGCAATTACTTTCTTTTTTTTAATGAGTTTCGCTTTTGCTGTACTAAATACAACATAATCCGGTAAAAAATGGACTTGCAACGAGAAAGTAGACACAGGCAGTGGAAAAATGTTCCGGGCACAGTGCGAAAGAGAGCGAGAGAGAGAGAGAGAGAGAAGGAAGAAAAAGGAAAAGAAAGAGAGAGATGCCCAAAACGGGAAAACTAAAACGAAAGATTAACGAAAACACTGTGTGAACATGAAATGGGCGATTATGAAAATAAATGAATGGCCAACGTGAAGATACAAAAGCTCTAACGAAAATTGCTTGTTCCTTTCAAGCCAATGGTTTTGATCCTGAAATATTTAAAATTGATCAGGTTTTCAGCCTTTTCTCTCTCTCTCTTTCTTTCAAAAAACAAGTTGCCTTTGTACGCCTCACCCCAAAATAGAACGCAATAACTTTGATCTACTTCAAATAGTTTGTGTTTTCTCTGCAGCTTTTTTTAAGGTTGAAAAATATGTCATAAAAATGTATTTGTTATTTATCAAAGAGAATTTTTCTCACATATTTTTTGCGACGAACATATCAAAACATTAATTGTTGATTGTTTTCACTGTGATCGGCTCATGATGAAAATTGCCGGTCGTGTCCAAAAATACATGAAATCGCATGAAAGTGAATGAAAAAATAAGCCAAAATAGTTGGCAGAAAAATTACGTCCATTTCCGTTTGAAAATTTGTTGCCTGGATATAGAATTTCACGGGAAATGCTGTTCATTTTAAAATGCTCACTTTTTTAATCTTCTCCCACCAATTCGTTCTATTCGAGTGAATTCAAACGTATGAAAATAAATCGCGCAAAGTGTTGTTGTTGGATGAATATAATTTCAGCATCATTAGGGATATTTTGTGTATGAAAAATAGCTGTATCCGGGATGGATGGATTTGTGAGAAGGCTTTTGACGGATTTTCGCGCATCTGTTGGTGTATTCCCTCCATCACAAAAAAGGAATTCAATCGTTGTAATTTTGTTTCTCTCTTGTTGTTAAATATTCTGAAAATAACTCCTCTAAACGTTGCATGAGTAATTACAGTGGTGAAGGCTATTCGCTGGCTGTAAAAAAGGGGAACACGGATTTTATGATAAAAACACAGGCGACATAAAGTGAACTCCCCAAATGGAAAGTAGAAAAAAGAGCAACCATAGAAGGCAATCTTCTTGCTCATTAAATGCTGTGATTTCCTTGACACTTTTTACAGTTTAAACGCTGCCACATTTATTATATGCCTACACGTAGGTAAGTTGAGACATTGTCAGCGCAACATGATACACCATCAAATTGTGCGCTCACTCTCTCTCTCTCTCTTGCTCGACACGGTGTGTCGATGCAAAGAAGCATTTCAGCGGCAGCAGCACGTGAGATAATTTCATGAAAAGAAGCGAAACGATGTCAACATTAATTCGTAATGTGTTTTAATTTCGCAGAGGTGTGAGTAGCTGTTTGCCAGGGCTTTTGTTATACCGTCGCGTCTTCAATGATGTCAATCTCGCACTGTGCATTTTACTGTCGTGTATGTACATATAGACATTTTTTGCCACTTTCAATTATGTACGAAAAAAGGCGAAAATTCACTGAAGATCTTTTCGTCTTTCTCTTATTTATTGAAGATAAAATGACGTTTTGTTCAATGAGCACCCTTTTGCGCACTGAGTTTTTTCTACGTG